GATTTTTTGTGAGTGTTAGTTTTACCAACACAATTAAAATTACGAGCACCGCCGGCCGCTAGGCGTGAAGTCGAACCTTTGTATTTCTAGTGATTAGGGATTCCGCAACCAATGGCGAAATCCCGGCTTTAATTTGAGCGTGTCGGTTCCATTAATGCCGCATGCCCAGAGCCCCGCGTTACTATTTAACGCCCGCACGATGTGACTCCGATCCTCGCACCCTGGGTGTGATAACCCGCGTCGCACGCCGGGGCGGCGAGTGCAGCAAAGGAACGGCTTGTCGTCCCTCCGGAGGAAGCAGGAGGGGGGGGTAGGAAGGTGAGTGGGGTTGGAAGTCGTCCAAAGGCCTCGTCCGCGGGGTTCGTCTCGTGGCCTCCTCCAGTCGCACCAGTGGGCTTCAGCCGGCTCCAGGGCCGCGCTTGCCCCAGCACCAGCCCGGCCCTCAGTCCGCTTTGCTTACCTCATTAAGACTGCGCGCTTCCTCGATACAGGAGGCGGGGGTTTGTTAGGCACGCAAAGGGGGTCAGCAGAGAGGCCAAAGGTCAGCGGCACGGCCGGGACAGCGGGCAGGGGTAGGGCGGGAGCTGGACTGGCTGGGCTGGAGCTGGGCTGGAGCTGGGCTGGAGCTGGGCGGGAGTCGGTGCTGGAGCGCCGCCGGGGGGATCGGAAGGGTCTGAAAAAGGTCGGGCTTAGCGTCGCAGGGGAGTCCTTTGGAATACCTCCAGATGAACCTACTTGGCCAGGACCCGACACGCCTTGCATTTCTTCCCGCCGCTGTACACTCTAAACCCTGGTGCTGAGTATCTAAGAGAATTGCACATCTGCGTTTTGTATACACATAAATGCGGGAACTTCACCCGATTGCACACTACCAACCGTACTGCACCTTAAGGTGCAATTGCAATTGCAAGTCAAAATACACGTATATCTGCTTGCCCATTAGAAAACTCGACTTCTTTTAAATGAAAGGAAGATTTGAATGATTTGCATTCAGAATGGAATGTCAAAATTAAATCGGCCACGTTTGCTTGCTAAATTTTAACGTTTCCTGATAAGTCTTAGTAACATTTTAATTAAACTCGTATCAACCGCTTCCAATTTATTCAGTTTTAATACAACTTATACATCATACATATAATTAGGATGTTAAGGATTCTCTGTATAACATCGTTTACCTTAGTTCTCGACTCGAACGATAGTATCAAGGGTGGCATTTGGTTTCAGGGAGTGCCAAGGTCAGCACACCCACTCAAGGTGACAACGTTTGATGATTGCGTCCCGGGTGAGACTGTGAGATTCTTCTACCCCACCCCTTTTCCCACATTTTTTCTTCATCTTTCCCCTTTCACCTTTATTTCGTGTTTCCCTTTTCTGTTGCCAGTGCGACGTTATCAAGCCCAAACTCTAATTGGGCCCATCACCACCTGCCCTTTTCAGTTTCACTACCCTGGTCGTTTCTCTCCCCTGCCTCGCACCAACCCAATTTTAGACTTATTTCCACGACGGTAAAGCCTAAGAATAAACTTAAAGACGCTAAATATTGACAAAGAGAACGTATTTAATCAAGGTATAACTTTATTGTCCTGAACGCCTTATTCGTTCCCCCGATGATTATGCACCTTCTTTAATGTGGCTAAGGTAAAGCACCAAACCAGAAAACGACGCAACAATTATAAAACTGTGCGACATTGATTGATGGGCAACGTGTTGCGATGGACAAGCAAGTTGCCTTTGCAAGTAGACGGTGGCCGGAGCAGTGGCGAGGGTGGCGGGCGGACTGAGCCACCGTTGCTAGCAGGCCGTCCGCCGGACAACGGGATGGGATAGGCCGGCGCCTGCCAGATGGAAATTTACTGTTCGTGCACCTCGGTGGTCTCGGCGAACTGGCGGGGGCCTCTCCGAGGCGCGAAAGATATT